AGGGGCAAACCTCCAACTCCACCGATCTCCAGCGTTTTGAAGTGGATTGAAGATAAGGATCAAGTGGGATGGGCGCTGGCCTCTGCATCACATCCAGCACCTTCCCCAGCCACGCACCCTCAGGGTGGAGACACATGAACTTTCTTGCTTTTGCGAATTTGTGTCCAATTCATATAAAATGTTTTCCTGAAAGTTATTCTTAGTGTTCTAATGGAGCTTTTATGGCTCCAAATACAGTCCCTGGCTTTTTCTTTGTTCTGGCTCAGGTCCTTGGTAGGGGAAGCCCCTAGTTCTAGATGGGTTGCTGAAACAACCCAGCCCATCCATTTGGCAAGAAATGCAAAGATTCTTGAAGAAAGTGCCTTTTAAAAAATAAATATAAATGGCACCTCGAGAGTCCCACGTGGTCAGTTTTGATGCACTAGGCTGAGACCCCTAATTCTGTTGTCTTCCAAAGCTACTTCCAGACCCAGGCTCCACAGCCAGGGCAAGTGGAGAAGGCTGAAGATCTCTGGGCAGGACATCTGGGCACTGTCCGTGAACTCTCCTGCACCCAGCCCACAGCTGTCTGGATCTGAGTTTTGCTTGCCCTAAAGGAAGATAAATGCCCGAGCTCAGCATGTCTCTCTTTCTCTGGTCAGGTCCTGGTTGGGAGGGGAGGAGGCAGCTATGGTCTCCCCAAGTCCCAGTGATGGCTTGTATCCAATTACTCACTGAGTATTTACAGAGGCCTATTCTGTGCCAGACACGGTAGTAGGCACTTACATTTCATTCTCTCAGCCATCCTGTGGAATAGATGTTATTACTATACCCTCCTTCCAGATGAGGAAGCTGAGGTGCAGAGGACAGCACTTTCCAGAGTCCTACAGCCACATCCTGATCCAGACCTGGCCAGGGCCCTGTCCCTCTCCTGTCTTGAGGACTGACAGAAGGCTTTAAATCTGAGCCAGAGCTCCTAACCCACCAGAGAGGAATTCCATGACTCATGAGCCAAACTTTGCACCCAAAAGCCATGGGCCTGTGGCCAGAGCTCCCCACTCCCCCCCTCCCCCAGCTAGGTGAGGTAGGGCTGGGCTGCAGGAGGACAGAGGACCTCGCTGGGACCACCCTCCACATCACAGACAGACATGCACCAGCACACTGCCTCAGAGCCACACACACTGTCTCACCAACAAACTCTGCCGAAAACCCTGTCCTCTGCCACCTCCCTAGCCTAGAAAACCCCAGAGGGGAAAGAAAGTAAGAACCCACTCTCAGCCTGGAGTCTGAGGCACACCAGCTTGGGCCTTTCTCTAGTCCTTCCTCTTTTTGGACGTCCACCTGGCTCTGGGGCTCTGCAAGCTCTCCACTGGCACAGGAAGACCACAGAAACTTTTCTCTGGGCTGTGGGATGGCCGGTGACTGGGTTACTTATCACACGCATTCTTCTCCCTGCCAGCTGAGAAGGGGCCCAAGCTTTTGCCCCACGCGTCCTGGGGTCAAGCATGCTGGGGTTCTCAGAAGAGAGCGTGGTCACCACAAAGCCAGGACACTCCACCTCTGATGTTGCTGTCCTACCCCAGTTCCGGAGCTCCTGGATTTCTGGATCCCAGCTGCCACCAGGGAATGGTGGCCCCCAACCCAGGCCTTGTCTTGGGGTGGCTCTGGTCCAGTAGGCTTCCGGCCGATCTGAGTATCAGGAGGGCCAATGGCGTGAGGGCAGCGTGTGACGGGTCTGAGCACTCGGACAGCTGGGACTCTCCGGGCAGGGCAGAATCCAGCATCCACGCAGCCCCTCCTCCGCGCCTTCACGCTCCGCGGCACTCTGCTGCGCATTGCCCAGTACTCCATCCCTGCCCAGGATCCTTGCTTCTAGCTGGGGTTGTAAACTGCGAGGGGACCTGGGTTCGGCTCCGCTCAGAAGCGCAGCCCAGGGGAGGATGGACAGGACTCCACTGTGGGGAGGGGTGGTCCCAGGGCTACGTTTGGGAAGAACAGTAGCACAGGCAGGCACAGGGAGTGCACGGTCCCTAAAGAGTGGAGCAAGGGGGTTACAGGGAAGGGCTCCTCGGAGATGAGGCATCCACAGGATTGGGAGAGCCGGGACTGCCGTGGAGCTTCCCTCTCAGTTCTTGCTTCCTTCCAAGCGATTCCAAACAGCCGGCTGGGTCTTTCCTTAGGTGGAGAAAATCTGAAGCTGTTTCTGTGGCTGAAATCCAAGCCACAGAGAATCCCAGATAGGCGGGAGCGCCCGGGTACGAGCCACTGGGGGCGTCGTGGGTCCAGGACCACTGAGGGCCGCTGGGGGTGCCGGCGGGTGCCAGACCAGGCGGGCTCCATTGCTCACAGCAAATTGCCGCTAGGCGCCTACGGACGGTACCTGACTCGGGGGGCTTAGGCCCCCCATTCTACTGTCCAGCTGGCCACTTCTTCAGCAGGGGAAGTGGTGGGGAGGGCTGGAGCCATGACTGTGCTAGAGACCTGGGTGTTCTGTGCGTCTGTGCGCGAAGGACCCGGGACCCCGGACTCAGCCGCGGAAAGAAGGCCCGGGAGCCCGGACAAAGGGCAAGGAAAAGGACTTATATGGTGATCTGGAGTTGTGGGGGTGTGGCGAGGGGGACGAACGGACATGGAGTGGGGAAGATGTGGAGAGGGACCGCGGGTTTGTGGACTGAGTTGCCCCGCTCCCAGACCAGAAAGAGCAGCCGGTGCCTGGGTCGGGCATGTACCTGGCAGCCTCCGGTGACTCTGAGCACCATCCGTGGCCCTCCGAATGTCGGCCCTGGTGATGCGGGCTGTGACTTGGTCAGGGTGGGGGGTAAGGGACCAAGATTCTGCGTGCCCCAGCACAGACCACACCGGGACACCAGAGCCAGGCTGCTGGCACATCCTCTTGCGCTGAGACCTTGCTTTTGGGTGGCCCCGGGAACACGACCCTGGGCAGTATGCGGCCCCGACTCAGCTCTTAGACGCCAGCCTGAGGGTCACAGAAGTCCCGGAGGCCAGGCCACTGGGGCCCCCATTTTGGTTGAAGGGGAGAAATGCCGAGAGGAAGAAGCCGGTCACAGGGAAGGTGGGGAGACGGGAGGAGGAGGCTGGAACGCTGCACCCGGAGTGTGGGGTCTGAGGTGAGTGTGCGGGGCCTGAGACGGGAGAGGATTCCCAAGCGCGCTCTGAAGAAGGCGAGGGTCTGGGCCTGGAATCAGGACCCTCGAGCCCACAGGCAACGTGCAGGGACGCAACGCTGCCAGCAGAGGGCAGAATGCGCCCGGTCGGTTTGCCCATACGGTGCCCGGCTGTGCGCGCCCGAATTTTGCCTGCCGGGCTTCTCCCGAAGCCGTGGCGCCCCCGCCCCAGATGCGGGGGGATGGAGGCCCAGGCCCAGGCCCAGGCGCAGCCTTAGGAGCTCAAGGCCTTCCAGGCTGTGCAAGGACGAGCGACCAAGGTCATATGAGAGAAGCTACATATCCTCTCATCCACCGTCCTGGATACAGACACACAAAGACGTGAAGAAATACACGGAGTCACAAAATCAGGCGCGCGCACTCGCGCGCACACACAGAACCCCAAAAAAACTCTGAGACAAGCAAGCTCACAGAATCATTCAGAAACTCGAAGATACACTCAGACACAAAGATGCCACGAAGACACATAAACAGAAAAGTATCCCAAACACAATCAAGAGGTTGAGAGACACACAAAGACGTTGGCACCCACATACAACGACAGAGACACAAGGACACACACAAAGACCTACAAACACACAGAAGATACAGAGGCATGTTAAGACCTGCAGATGCACACGCACATGGGCACGGGAAACACACCCAGGTACACAGATTCACACACTCCGAGCCCAGAAAGTCTCAGGCACACAGAAATACTGTATGTGCACAGACACGGGTGCACAGGCATGCAACAGACTCCCAAGCGGGAGCATGGACGCACACACGCACACACAGATACCCACCGACACACAAGCAGGTACTGGGATGGGGCGGGAGCCTTCTAATCCTCCACAAAGCCAGGCCCCTCCGCGGGGCCCCGCGGCACAGGGGGCCACTTCTGACCAAGCCTCCGGCAAGCTCCAAATCCGATCCGCCCTCTCGCCTCCAGCGGGGTCAGGGGACCCGCCTCCCATGCCCTCCGCCCCCGCCCCGCTCCGCGCCGCTGCTCGGGTCCGGGAGGGGCCGGGCCGCCCCGCAGCGGCTCGAGGGGTCAGCCAGCTTCTGCCCCGGGCCCGCACCACCATCCCCCAGCACCCGCTCCTGGGCGAGCCGCGCCTCTGTGGAGAACCGGGACCCGAAGACACAGCCGGCCTAGGCGCGGTGTACCGCAGCCGGACACAGCGGCCTGAGCACCGAGCACGGGTGCGGGTGCCAGGGCGGGTGGGTGCCAGGACCAGCGGGCGCGAGAGTCTGGGACTGTCTTGCCGACCTTTCACTCCCCAGCGTCAAAGCCCACCTTGTCCAGTCTGACCAGGGCGCTGTCCCTGCCAGGTGCGGCCTACAGACCCCTAGCCGGGCCCCTCCGCTACCAAAAGGAGCCTATCCCAGCCACCAATCCCGCTTCCATCGAGCAACCGAACACACATCGTCCTGGGCCTTCAGTTACCGACCCCAGAGCCACCACCCCCTTCCCGTGCATTTACAGATCCTGCGAGGCCAGGTTCTCATCCATTGCCCCCATCTCTGGCCGGGGCCCCGTTCTCAGACTGAATCGCCCTCTAAACTCTCCGTGCCTATGCTGGGCCTGACCCTCCTCGTCTGCCCAATGTCCCCCGTCCTTGATCCCAGGGCCCTTCCCAGGATCTTCGCTCACCCCTCGACCCAATCTCTGCCATGCCTGCTTTTCCGGACCCCTCACCCCAAATCCGGAGCCCAACCCCCTCTCCCAGGGCCAGGACCCCGTTTGGCCAGTCCTGGGCCAACAGCCCTTCCCGCCTGCCTCTCCGCGGACCAGAAGGGGCCCGGGAAGGCGCCGCCGCCCAGGGGACGTCAACTCAGCCCGGAGCGACCTACCTTGGCCAACAGATCGGGTCCCCGGGCGGCCGCTCTCGGCCGGCGCCTTCCCCTGGTGGATCCGCTGCGCTCCCCGCCATCCGCTCAGTCTGGCCTCGCATGGGGCCACTCCTCCTAGCGCCGAAGCTTTACAAAATATTAATAATAAAGAAATCAAGCAAGAAAAAAAGAAAGCCTTCAATCCCCAACTCCCAAATCAATTTTTCAAAGGGGTGGGGCAGAAGGATTTGTTTCGAAGGTGACCCAAACTTCTGCAAGAGGCCAGCAGGCGCTCTGTCTGGCCGGGGCGCCGGGGCCTGAGCTCCGGGCCAGGCGCGGAGCGGGGCACAAGCCGGGGGCGCGGGGAACCCTCCCGCGGGGGGTGGGGGGGAGGCGACGGCACTATTTGACGTGGAGCCGCCGGCTCATCCCGGCGCACGGATACGAGGCGCACCAATGAGTTCAAATGTCAGGAAGTTTGAGGAGGGGTGAGGCGGCTCCCGGCCGGAGTATCCCTCCGCCGCCAGCCCCAGCTCTAAACCCAGCGGCTCCTCGGGCGCACCATGGCACTGGAGTAGTGCGGGGAGCGCGCCTGGAGCCCTGCGGCCCGCTGCGCCCCGCCCGGGACCCCGCTGCGCCGCCCGCGCCCCCCCAGCCCGCGGGGCCGCCCCTGCACCCCCGCCCCCTCCCCCGCCCGCCGCCGCCTCCGCCGCCGCTGCCGCCGCCGCCTCCTCCCCGCGGCTCCGTCTGCCGCTGCCGCCGCAGCCCGGCTCCGGGGCTGACAAGCAGGTGACAGAGGAGCCGGCGCGCGTGGCTGCGAGTGCCCGGGAGAACGCGGCGCGGACTGCACCGCCCCGGCCCGCCCGCCCGCACGACGCCGGGGCCCGGGGCCAGCGCGTCGGCGCTCCACGCTCGCCGGGGGCGGCCCGCGGCCCCTGCCGCAGCCCCAACCCCGCGGGGGCCGCGCCTCCCCGGCTCCGGGGCCGCGGCGGCGGCGAGCCGGCAGGCGGGCGGGCGGGCGAGCACCCTGGCCGGCGGGGCCCAAGGCGCGCCCCGCGTCCCATGGATATAGCAACAGGTCCCGAGTCGCTGGAGAGGTGCTTCCCCCGCGGGCAGACGGACTGCGCCAAGATGCTGGACGGCATCAAGATGGAGGAGCACGCCCTGCGCCCCGGGCCCGCCACTCTGGGGGTGCTGCTGGGTGAGTGCGGCGTCAGACGCCCAAGTGGTCATGGGCAGGGGACAGGGGCATCCTTCCGAGATGGACTCAGGCGGCCAGCCCAACGGAACAAGGAAATGGTTTGGAGAACGTAGAGGTGCGGGAGGACACAGACTAGTCTCTTGCAGTGATCACCGGAGGGTCAGTCAACAGGCACCCCTAAACAGGCATCGTGAGGAGACAGAGCTTTGCAGGGACACCACCTAGGAGGAGGGAGGCCAGGACCGCTCCAGCTGCCACCCACCATCCTCACTGGGCCTTGGTGCTAGAGCTGCCACTCCCGAGGGGATAGGAGGTGGGAGGCCAGAGTGATGGAGACCCAAGTAGTCACCTTAGCAAGCTTGGGAGCAGGGCCAGGTCACTTGGTGGGGGGAGCTTTTAAGAGAAAAAATGTCCCCTGGGCCACCCAAACTACAGGTTTTGGGGAGACTGGGGACAGAAGACCACGAACGCCGCCGTGGGGCGTGTCAGCCAGCGAGCGCCCCAGCCTCACCTCGCCCGTCTTGGTTCCAGCCGGCTACCCCGCGCCGTGCCGGTTCTCATACGTAGTAACATCAAGCGCCGGATCTCCAGAGAAGGGGAGAGTGCAGCGCCGAGCCAGGGCTCTGGAGACCCGCGGCCTCTCCGCGCGGGAGTCCGTGGCCTGGGACGAACCAGCTGAGGCTGCCCGGGCCCTGGTGCGGCGGCCAGGGGAGCGCAGGCGGCGGGCGGCGCTCCCGGCTTGCCCTAGCCCTTGGGGCCCGGGCTGCGGGCAGCGCGCGGCGGGACGCTGGGGCCAAGCTGGTCGGGGCTGACCGCCCGGCTCTCGCCCTGTGCGCTGCAGGCTCCGACTGCCCGCATCCCGCCGTCTGCGAGGGCTGCCAGCGGCCCATCTCCGACCGCTTCCTGATGCGAGTCAATGAGTCGTCCTGGCACGAGGAGTGTTTGCAGTGCGCGGCATGTCAGCAAGCCCTCACCACCAGCTGCTACTTCCGGGATCGGAAACTGTACTGCAAACAAGACTACCAACAGTAAGCGCCTCTCTCGTTCTTCTCCTTCCCTGCTGCCGCCCCGACACTCGAGCCCCGCCACCCCCCACTGCCAGGCCCGCGTCTGCCCAACTGCCGGCTCTGCGCACCGCTGGGCCCATCAGTTCTGAGGGCTGTGCGGGCTGTGCGACTCCTGACAGGGACTAACCATCCCAGCCAGGCTGCCACTGGTGGGGTGGCCGGGAGCCTCTGGAGGTCCCTAGTTGCCATCTTTTGTCCGGAAACCTGCACTGGTTGGGGTACAGGACAAGGCCCTTGGCCAGTTAGGAGATACCATCCCTCTGTCCAGGGACAGGGCCTGACCTCATTGAGACCTAAACTGGGGACCAGTGATTGATTTCCAAATGAAAACAGTGCTTTAGGGAGCCAGGCCCTGGTGGTGTGCTTCCCAAAAGTAGGGTTTTATGGAGGTCTGGGATTCCTGGAGCAAGGAAGTGGAGTTTGGGGGGCTGCTGAGTTGCCCGGGCAGCTCAGGATGCCTCCTTCCTGCCGTGCTCTCTGTTGTCCTATCAGTCCCTGATAGAAAAGAGGGTCCATTCTCTCCAAACCGTTCCATGCGGGAATTTTGCACTTTTTGCTGGCTGGAGGAGCTGTCTAGGAAGAGGACCTCAAGAGGTGGCAAACCACAGTCTGGGGCTCCTGGGGGTGGGGATGAGATCTGCCCAAGTCAGCCTTCCCCAGCAGGCCCTCTTTCTTGCACAGTGTTTGTGTTAGAGAGGGGGTGGCTTGCTTTGCCCTGGTGTAGCCTAAGGCTCAAGGTTGAGGCTGGAGACTATGGGTTGAGCCCTACCTGCTAACTTTTGTTTTTAAATGAGACTATGGATTTGTCTGGCAAGGTTCTGGGACAGTTAAGAGCAGATTCGGGCTTTTTCTTTTCATCCTCTGCGTTTTGTGCCTGGCAGTGTGATTGGGAGGGAGGCAGAGAGGAGCAATAGCCAAAAGAAAGGTGTCGGCACCCCCAGGGAGGACAGAACTTTCTAGTGAGGTCCAAAAGACCCTTTTAGATGGGGCTGCAGGATGAGGAGGCTCTCAGGTGTTTGGGGGCTCAGGGGGAGCTGTGTGTGCCCAAGCCTCCAGGAAAAGTGTGGGCTGCCAATGCCTGGTGATCACTGCAGCCTACCTGTCTGCCCAGGGACTGTTCCTTAATCCAGGCCCTGATGGGAAGTGGAGCATCTGGGGTGCCCCATCTTCATTTCTCTAGCTGCTCGGCTGGGGCCTGGAAATGGTGGGACTGTAGGCTAAAGCCCTGGAGAGGGTATTAGGTTCTGCTCTGAAAGGTTCTGGCTGAGCCCCAAAATAGCACCTTATCTGACTGTGCTCCCCTGGTCTGGAAGGTCCGATAGGACCTGCTCTCTGCACCTTGCTCTTCCTGCCCACTGGGGGCTCTGCGGGCAGGAATTGGGGTTCATTTCAGAGAGTCAGCTCTTTTGCTGATCCCAGAGTCTTGCTGAGACCTCTTCCTCTGTCTGGAGCACCCCAAAGTAGGCACCTTGCCGTTGGTAGCATTTGGGCTATGCCCTGGACTGACAGGATTCTAGTTCCAGGAGAAAGTGTGGCCGCCAGTCAGTTCAGCCACAAGCAGGCATAGAGCAGGACAAATTAAATGGGGAAAGTAGTCGGGGTAGATGTGATTGGGGGCTTTGGTCTGGCCAAAGGGCAGGGTTCACCAACTTCCAGCCCACCCATGTCCTGCGAGCCTGCACCTCTGCCTGCCTGACCCTTAGCTCTAGCACTGCCACTTACAACTTAGCTCAGCCACCGGCCTGGGTGACTCAACATGTGGGGGCGGGAGGCCCAGGAAACTGGAAATGGGCCTCCAAGTCACTGGAGCAGATTTTGGGGGAAAATTTTTTTTTTTTTACATGTTGGAAGGACCCTTTCCAACCTCTTGCATGCATCTGCCAGGTCTCTCCCCCTACTCTTCAGTCCTCTATGGAGCTTCTGTTTAATAAAACAAGGAGAGGATGCTTCCTGGTTCTTTGGAGCACAGAACTGTAAAGTCACAAAATTTGAACAGATGTTACCACGGCAGAGCGGCTGTAGCTCCCTAATTTTACAAAACAATTAAACGTTAAATGTTTGTGTTGCCTTTGTTGAAAGCCTATTTGTTTTTTAAAAAGAGAAAAAAGGCGCCTCTCTGAGAGTTTGATGCTTCAGTGTAGTTGGGATGTGTCTGCGGGTGAGTTCGGGCTCCAGGAGAATCTCGGGTCCCTAGTTCCGAGTCTGGGTCCCGCAAGGCGGCAGGCTTCAGGCGGGCATTATTCACGCCTCCTCCTCCCTCGCCCCTCTTTCTTCCAATAAGGCCAATTAGGTATCTGCACTAGGCCGGCCGGTTGGGGGCTGAGGAGAGGTTGTTCTCTAGACAATCCTATGGACAAATACCCCGGCGGGTCTCGCCTCAGCGTTTCCCAGGGAGAGCAGGCGCAGCGAGGTAGGCAGGGCCTCACGGGAGAAGCGATGTTCTTTTTCACAATAAAAGTTTATTTCACGATTTATTTTTTTTCTTTGAGGATCGCAGATGCACATTTATTGCATCTGTGCATAAATGGTTTTCACAAGAGAATCCCGGCTAGTGGGCAGCTAGTGGGCGCAGAGACGTGCCTTCTCGATTTGGTGGAACCTTTGTGTCCGCGGTTCGGGGAAATTAACAACCCCCCCCCCAATAACTTGTGAAAAAATGTGGCCTCACCCCACCGAGGAGCTTTCGAGGCTTGGTCCTTAGAAAGAGGTTGCTATTTTTACTAAGCGTCTCTTCTTCCTTTCGATTTGTTTTAAAGATCTGGGACACCCAGAAGCGCAGCGTTATTTTACGCACCATGGGGGATATTAATTGACGATCGGGAACACTTAATAGCATTTGATAAAATCCACCCGCACGTCCTGGACGGACAAAGCGGAGCGCGGGGCCGCAGCATTTGGGTATTTTCACGCACAACTCGAGAAGTTTACTTTTTCTCCTTACATGATTTTGGGGGCTCCTTCTTCAAAAAAAAAAAAAGCGTCGGATTGTTCTGCGCCCGAGGCTCTGGCCCCTCGGCCGCCGGAGCTCCTTCTCGGACTCACAACCTGGTTAGACACCGGGAGGAAACGGGGTTTCCTCCAAACGCAAAATCGCGAACACCTCTCTCCTTCCTCCACCCGAGAACACATGAAAAAAAAAAAAAAAAAAAAAGACAACGTAATCCCCCCCCCCCCCCCCGCCCCATTTTTTTTTTTTTTTCTTGGTGGCTTGGCCAAATAGAATTATGTAAGTCTTTTTTCTTGCCGTCTGTCGCTCGTCTGGAAAGCGTTTCTGTCCTGAGGAGGTGGCGAATTCCTGGAGGAGGCTCCGGAAGGGGGGAGGGTCGGTGGGAGAGTCCAAAAATCTGTCACAAAATGGAGTCTAATCGCTTGTAAGACAGCTCCCAGGCCTGGCGACCCGAGATCCGTTGGTGCACAAGCGGGAGCCTGCATGCGCCGAAGGACCCGACGCTCCTGCTTGGGCCGGGCTCCCACTTCGGCATCCCGGGCCGGCGGCGCCCTTCCGCCCGGAGGGCCTGCCCAGGCGGCCTCGCCCCTTCTCGAGCAGAGTTACAGGGCTCCGCTGAGCCTGCGAGGGTCCCCTTGGGCTCGCCTGCCCAGGTAGGATGCGCCCACCCGCGGAAGGGGGGGGAGCAGGGAGACTGATTGAGTTTCAGGAAAAAACACTGTCTGAGTCCCGGGGTGATTTTTTTTTCTTTTCTTTTTTTCTTTTCTTTTTTCCCCCCTTTTTTCTTTTCTTTTCTTTTCTTTTCTTTTCTTTTCTTTACTTTTCTTTTTTCTTTCTTTTTCTTTTTTTTTGGGGGCGGGTAAATCTACCCCAGCTGGCTCCAGCTCCAGTGGCCCAACCTGGCTCTTCCCAGCACATTCCTTTCCTTCTTTCCTTGGAAGTGTTTACACCGGGAAAGGCCTACCAAGGAGGCTCACCTCTCTTTGGAGCACCAGCTCTGGCAGAGTAGGGGTGTGGCACGCGGAGAGCAAAGCCGGGCTCAAGCCTCTGCTGCCTGCTGTTTCTCCCAGCTTGGAAGGCCTTCTGCTATAAGGCCTTCCTGTGGGGTGCCAGTTACCAGCAGCGCCTCCCCTACCAGTAGGGTATCCCAGCTGGCACGGCCCGCATCTGTCTCATTCAGAACTGCAGACATCCCTGCCCACAGCCTGAGGTAGAGGGTCTGTCCTGGAACTGGATCCACTTGGAAGGAAAAGCCCAAGCTTGGCCTTGTAGAAAGGCCTCGGTAGTGCTCTCCCTGGGCGTTTGAGGGCGGAAGGGCTCTCACTTTGCCAGCCCAAGTCTGGGACCCTCTGGCTCTTGCAATGGCACCCTCCTTTTAACCCCAGCACCTCGACTGCAGGTAGAAGGGTAAGCAAAGGCCTTCCTAAAGCTGCAGTCATCAGCTGCTAAACGGAGGCATTATTCACAGCTGACTCCTGGCTCACCCTGTATTCCCCAGGCTCTGGGCTAGTGCAGCCTAATTTGTTTGCCGGATTTTTCTTGAGTCGGGGAAGAAGGCTGTGAGGATTTCCTCTGGAGTAGGTGATTGTCCGCCCTCAGCAACATCCTACCCTGCCGCACTGGAACCAGGCTTAGGCCCTGGCATCTATCTGAGCCTCTTCTGTTAAATGGGGACATAATCCCCTGGGGGAAAGGATTCTAATAAGGATTCGAGATAACATGCCCCCAAGGACCTGGCATCTCACCTGGTATGTTGTTAATACTTTGGAAATTATTGCTGTTACCATTATCACCAGCAGTGTGGCAAGGAATGTCCTGTCCTCAAGGAGACACCAAACTGCCCATGGGTTCTGTGCCAGAGAATGGTACAGCTGGCATGGTAGGTTTGCCATGAGCCTCTCTGTGCAGGGAAAATGAGGGGCACCCCTGGGAAAATCATTCCCTTTGCCTGAGTGGGGCACTGTATGGGCCATTCCTCAGTAAGGAGAAGAGCTGTGGACTCTGAGAGCTGTGT